AAGGAAAGGAAAGGAAAGGAAAGGAAAGGAAAGGAAAGGAAAGGAAAGGAAAGGAAAGGAAAGGAAAAAAGGAAAGGAAAGGAAGAAATAGAAATACTTCATGGAGAAAATGGCCTTCAGTAGGACGTGAAGGGAAAGGGTATAGGGGTGGGATTTGGAACAGCAGGCAGGACAGAAGGAGCCATAAAAACAAAGACCTAAGTGGTGGAAGAATGCAGTGTACCCCAGGAACTGGGGGGGGGGCAGTTTCCCAGGTACAGGGCGGGTTTGGGAGGAAAAGGACTGGGCCATTCTAGGGAGAGACATAATTATCAGCAAATGTGTCTGAGCTCCAAGGAATGTGGAATGGGACCCGATACAAGAATGGAAAGATTGGCTTCAGAGTGGATTGCAGCACAGGTGGGAAGACCCGTTGGGCCGTCACTGCCAAGCATTCCAGGAAGACGCTTTGGTTTCGACCCACCCAGATTTTGTTTGAATCATTTGGATATTTAGTTCAGATATTTTAGCTTTTGGTTTTGGTTTTGGTTTTTCACTTCATGGGGGAATTAGAGGGTGAGGTTCACCCTGGGTTGATGAGGGGACAGGATGCCCGAAGGGAACAGGTCTGCAGGCTGAGGATCCTTCCTGATAAAGGAAATAGGGAGGCAGCAATGTGCTTTCCTGCTTGTGTCCAGTGTCCACTGGGGGTTCACTGGAGTTCTTGCCTGTTCTCTGTTCAGCTCTAATAACACCTTTGCTGTCAACCAATGCACATTCTTATTTACTTTTTTTTTCGCTTAAAACAAAAAACATAATTCCAAGAATTCTTATTTACTTTGAGAGCCTTTCTGCCTTGCTGTAGAAGAACAGTCGTTCATTTGTTGTGTGTGAGTAAAACAGGATGGAGGCTGGGGCACACGGCCTGACGTGCCCCCACTGCCACTGACTGACACAATGCCTGATGTCTCGGGGCCTCGGGGCTTTCCCACTCTGCCCAATTCTCAGGTGATCCCTCTTCTCTCCATGTGAGGAGGCAGGTTCCTCTGCAAGGGTGATGCAAGTTCAGTTTACGTCCAGAACTCTAGCAGCAAGGGACACTGAGAAATAAGATTTGGGGCTTTCTAATCTCTCCCATGAGGAGGGTGCAACAGAGCTTAAGAGAGCCTATCCAAGAATGTATCACAAGGTTTCTAAGTCTTGACCAATGGTAAAGTTACATTTGGTCTTCCAATCGCCGGTGATGTATCTCTTCCATAAAACAGAACCCAAGCTGAGGGCGGGTGGTGGGGTGAGAGGCATCCCTTCCCCTCACTGTGCCCCAGGCTGAGCCATTCAGCCTCGGCTAGGAAGCCGGCTCTGCAGGAACATGGCTGTCCCACCTGAACCACGTGAGTGGAGTGAGGCTGGAGGACTTTCCTGCCAAAGGGACAAGAACTTGGTGTCAGATCCCAAAGAATCTACCATACAGCAGTCCCCGCTTCCCCACAGGTTCACCTTCTATGGTTTCAGTTACCTGCAGTCAACTGTGGTCCAAAAGCAGGTGCTCCTCCTTCATTAGCAGGTCAGCAGGAGCCTAAGGCTACGTATGTCACAGCGCCTACGTCATTCCACTCACTTCATCTCATCACATGGGCATTTTCTCATCTCACAGCGTTACCAGAACAGTAGTAACATACAATAAACTGTTTTGAGAGAGAGAGCACATTCACATAACTTTTATTACAGTATATCATTATAATTGTTCTATTTTATTATTACTTGTTGTTAATCTCTTATTGTGCCTAATTTATAAATTAACATATGTATGCATGTATAGGAAAAAACATAGTCTATATGGAGTTCGGTACATCTGTGGTTTCAGGCATCCATGACGGTCTAGGAATGTATCTACGTAAGGGAGAACTACCATACTTGTTTTCCAGCATTGCTTTGGAATTTTCCCCTTTTCTTTCCTTTCTTTCATTAAAAAATATAGTTTCAGTTGAACTTAGGGAGGAAAGAGAAGTAAATGTAAGAGTTCAGTTCCTCTTGAAACTAGAGATTTGATTCTTATTAAGGTTGAATTTTTTCGGCTGGTATTGAACCACTGGATTATTTGTGAATTGCTATTCGTATTTATGTTTATACTGGTGTGTTTCTCTTTTCTTATTTATGTATAAGAATTTTCATATATTGTAAATATTTTTCTATGTTGTCATTTGTTATTCAATTTTAATGGACTTTTTTTTTCCTTCCCAAAGGGCTTAGTGCATGTGTGTGTGTTTTAAAGAAGTCAAATTTATCCATATTTTTCCATTAAGGTTTCTAGTTTTGTTGGCAATCTCAGAAGCACTTTAACCATCCCCAAGTTTATGTACACCTATATTTTCATCTAGTTCTAAAAGTCATCTGACTTGAATTTAGTGTATGGTGTAAGATAAAGATTTAACTTTATTACCCCTCCCCACCCCGTGCTACATCACCATTTGTCAAATTATGTATCCTTTATCCAATAGTTTGAAATGTTACTTTCATCACATCCTAAATGTTTCTGTGTGCTGAGTCTGTGCTCAGCCAACCATCCTGACAGCATGTTACGCACACGGTTACCTTTTGCTACCACTTGCTCTCCCCTCAAACCACTGTGCTTGGATTATTTTTTTAAAAGATTTTATTTATTTATTTGACAGAGAGAGACACAGCAAGAGAGGGAACACAAGCAGGGGGAGTGGGAGAGGGAGAAGCAGGCTTCCCGATGAGCAGGGAGCCCGATGCGGGGCTCGATCCCAGGACACTGGGATTGTGACCTGAGCCGAAGGCAGACACTTAATGACTGAGCCACCCAGATGCCCCTGTGTTTGGATTTTTGCTCCCACTGTGTTACAAACATTTCTCTGGCAAAGCTCATCATCAGACGCCTACTAGCCAAAGTCTGTGGATGCTTTTTAGGGCTTTTCTTGAATAGACCCCTCTGGTATATTTGACATTGTTGACAGTTCTTTCCTTCCTGAAGTCCCTTCCTTTGGGGGTGGTTTTGTTTGCCTGTTTGTTTTGTTTTGGTGTATTTGGGGACATTTGGATCTTTAGGCACATGCATCTTCATCTTTGCTGAATCCCACCACAGGGTTCTCCAGAAGGACTGTAGTGCTTCACACGCCCACAAGCAGTGTGCGATAGGCTAACAGGATTATTTAAGGACTAGCGTTGGTAGAGCTGAGCGCTCCGGATCTCTGCCCCACAGCATTTGCTCAGCATCCCCATGTGCACCTTCTCCCCACAAATCTCTCTCTTGTGAACTTGAATCCTGCTGCTGGCCTAAGCCAAACCCATGATCATCCCTATTCTCCCCACAACACAAACTAATTGAGAGCGTTAAAGGCTCACTCTCCTAAACCTCATTTTTGCATTTTGTTCCCTGCCCCCAAATCACCAGAGGCTTTCCAGGGCAGTCAAATAAAGTCTGAGCTCCTTGGATTGGCACCCAAGGCCTTCCCCTGCCCAGCTTCCTCATTCTTTCCAAGGCTTATTTCCCCCTATTCTCTATGGGAAAGCACTTGACTCCAGGCAAGGGGACCCATTCTGGTGCTGGGGGGTAAACCAGTATGGCCACTCTGCAAAAACATGTGGCAATATTTAATAAGGATGAAAATACACATACCAAACGACCAAGCAATTCCACTTTTGTACATGTGTACCAGGGTATGTGAACAAGGATATTTATACAGCCTGGTTTATAGGTGCTCAAACTTGGAAGCAACCTAAATGTCCTTCAAGAGCAGAATGGATAAGTTCCAGTCTCTGTACCCTTCCTCACTCTGACCCCCACTAACCTAGCATCAGTGGGGAGATTTCTTTTTCAGACAACATATCTTCATTTAAAACAGGAGCCCAACTACTTACTGTACAAAACAGGATTCTTTTCCCCTACTGAAAAATGAATTTCCTATATCATTGTGTAAATATGTAGGAAAACTCTAACAAGTTGAGGTCAACTACTTGTTTTATCATTGTGTTCATCTAAGTACTCTTTTTTAATCCCCTTTTAAAAGTTTATATACAGTAAAATCCATTCTCTTTTAGCGTTCATTTTTAACATTTTTTAAAGATTTTATTTATTTATTTGACAGAGAGAGATAGTGAGAGCAGGAACAAAAGCAGGGGGAGTGGGAGAAGGAGAAGCAGGCCCCCCGCTGAGCAGGGAGCCGGACGCAGGGCTCCATCCCAGGATCCTGGGATCATGACCCGAGCCGAAGGCAGACGCTTAACGACTGAGCCACCCAGGCGCCCCAAAGTTCATTTCTAAGAGTGTTAACAAATGCATAGAGCCTATCCTTTGCTTTTTTTTTCTTTTTACAAAGTAGTATCAACATAGTCTCACATAATTTATCTTACATTTTGCCCACTGAGATCTGAGACTTTGGAAAACAAAGTTTGATTTCATAATTTGGTAAGCAAGTTGTGTTTACTCCATGAGTTCACAAAAGTTCAGTCTCACCTATTGGTCCTTGCTCAATTGTTTGCATAGGTTCTGATTGTCTTCTAGAATGGCCAGTCATGGGCTGACTCTTTCCACCAAGATCAGAAGGGAAAACAGGCCTGGCTTTCAACTCTCTACGGACACTTGACAAGCTGTTGCTGCAGGTGAAAGGTCCAGCCAAGGATCATCTAAACCAGGTGCCCTCGGCTGCCAAGTATATACGTGACCTAAAACTCCAGGAGAGGGTCAGCCATTTCTAAGCTACCTTGTCATCTAGAAAGTGCCAAGATTTGATAGCCTAGGCACTGAGGGAGAGAGAACACTTGTCCCCACACTTCTCCAAGAAAGGCAGGGAAACTTGGACCCTTAGTAGGCATATAGTTTTCAAAATACATTAAATCAACTAAGTTAACTTTTTAACCATAAATCCAGCATTCCATTTGTTCTGACATGATGCAAAAAATTTTTTAATTTTTCGTTGATTAAAACCTAGAAATACTTTCATGCCATCCCATCAAGAGACCAACCACTACCTTACCCAATATTTTATCCCTCCCTACCCCAGTTGTTTTGACCTTTATTCTTCAATGGATGACTTCAAAAATGGGATGCTAAGCCTCACCAAGATGGTGACCTTGATGGCCTGCCCCTCTGAGGTGGCCAGCTCCTCTCGTGAGGTAGGAATTAACATATCTTACAAATTTCCAGGTGGTGCTGATGCTGGTGGTCAGGGGACCACACTTTGAGAATCACAGCTATAAATCTAAAAATGTATAGGAAATGTGGAAGGCAGAGGAATCTATTAACACCATGAGGATATATTTTAAATCCAGACTCTAAGAAATAGTTCCTTCAACAAATAAATTATAAAGAAAAAGAAAGCAAGAAAGAACCTAGAGATTACAAGAGACTTAGTAGGCATGGAGAGTAGGGCCAAGAGAGCACAGTCAAAATACAAGCTTTGAACTCTATATGAAGCTGGATGTCAACATCTACCAGATTCTGCCCAGTACTTCCAACAGCAGCTACAGGCTGGACTTCAGGACAGCCTACTTAGACTGGTCACCTCCAAATCACTTTAGAAGGGAAGGTTGCCTATCAACTCGAGTATAAAATATCACGGGAGCTCTTTCTATGAGCACCAGTAGAAACAATATCCTATCATTGTTGAGGAGATAGTGACAGATTCCAGCTTCTACTGTGTAATCTGGTTCCAGGATGACACTGGGCATAGTGCTTTCACTGACATTTACTTCATAGATCAGGTGATGCCTTTGACATCCTTCTGCAAAATTACTTCAAGTGGGTAAAGCAAGTATCTAAGATGTCCAGTGCATCTCAAGAACTGGACACTCATCCCAAGTTGGATCTGGGCTTCAAGGAAGGACAGATCATCAAGTTGATTAATGGGAAACTTGCAACCAAGAGATGATGGGTTTCTTAGCCCAGGACTACAGGGGACTGGGGGTCTAAGTTTACTCCCAGACCCACTTGGAGGCAAAGTCACTATTCCTCCTTCATCCTCAGATGATGCCATGAGCAACAATGTTGCCCCCACCATCCATTCCAAATCTAACCATGGAGGTAGTGACACAGATAACCTTTTAGGATGGGCTTCTCCTACTCCTGTCATGACACAAGCTCCAGGCTCTGAGCAATGACTTGGGGAGACTTTGGCCCTGCATCCAGCTCTGTTCCAAACCTGGCACCACAGCCATCCAACTAAGTCCAGGGCTGAACAGCCTTGGCAGAACATCAAGAACGGACTTGAAGAATAAAAATGACCTTGAGAAGATGGGGAAGAAAACCCCATCTTTGATGAAGAAAATGGACAAGGTGCAGAAAAGACTTTTTCTAAACAATTGCAATATATATTTGTTCGGGGGATGATCAGAATACTTACACAGAGCCAGCAGATATTCTTGAAGACCTTGTCATAGAGTTCATCACTGAAATGATGCACAAGGCAATGTCAATTGAAAGACAAGATCAATTACAAGTTGAAGATTTCATCTTCTTGATTTGAAAGGGTCCAGGGAAGTTTGCTAAGGTTACTCGTGATTACTGTGAATGAAGAATTGAAACAGGCTGGAAAAGAATTTGATGAAGCCTACTATGGATTTGACACTCTTTCTAATTTCTGAACCTTCATTATCTTGTGGGGCAGCCATAGATAGTAACTGAATATTTTCTACAGTAAGGTCCATGTAATTGAAAGATGGAGAAACACAAAATTCTCATGTCTTCAATTTTAGAGTGATATCTGAGTTTTAATTGCCTTTGATATTATCATATTTGAATTACTTACTGGTTTTCAATGACCACACAAAAGTTAAATTATCTTGCAAACCACACAGTTCCTTCTGACTTTTGACTCCAAATGATGAAGTAGTACTTGTATTAGGTGTCTTTGTGCCATTGTAAGCTATACTACAGCTGTTTAATATGTGAAATCTAAATGTCACTTTGACCCTGTGATACCTGAAATATGTTTCATTATTTTCAAGTTTCTGGACAACAGTAATCTAACAGATTAAAGATAATGACCTGTTGAGTCACTATATTGTACACCTGAAATTAATTTCACACTGTATGTTAACTGGAATTTAAATAAAAACTGAAAAATAAGGATAGTGAACTGGTCTGTGTTTCTGTTAAGTAGAAAGTGATATTGGAATATAGTCTTTTGTAAGAATGTTTATGTATTAAAAGATAACTTGCTTTATTCTTTTCTTTAGATAGCGAGTGATTTTTTGGAGAAACTAAATTTCATGTGAATGCTTGTGTTGGAAAGCTTTTTTGACTTAAAACCTTTGGGGCTGATACATACTATATGTCAAGTTGTAGAACTCATTCTCCTGGATCAGATTAAAGCTTCTAAAATACACGCTTTTAGTAGTAGTTGGAATGGAATTGTTAAAGAGCTGATGGCAGAATAAGCATTTGGGGTAGTGTTTTATTAACATATTTATTAGTTCTTGTTCATTATGGAAATATGTACTTGATTAAAATCAAATATGGCTATGGAAACCACTTCCTCACCTTCCTATAGTTCAGGATATACATATTTTGTATGTAATTAGCTATACTTTATTAAATTATTATTGCACTTAGTTTAAAATAAGGATTTAAATTGCATTTAAAGAGATCAGTGAATGTTACTGTTTGTGAAATGGAGCATTTTGTGCGCTGTTTATAAACATTATAAATCAGTAATTGGGGAAACTCTACTTTCTTAAGCTATTAATACCAGGAATAAGATATGAAAAATTAAGAAATGACCCATGACCCTAGGGACACAAATCTTTAAGTTGGAAACCCCTACTCTGTCCCAGAACTAAAACTACTGGACAGTTTTTTTCTTAACTTTCCCATGGCATGCAAGCTGGTTTATGTCATTCCCTTTGATGTTACTTGCTGTGTATCTGCCGTCTCCTACTCATTAACAAGGCAGGAATAGTGGGGCTTACCATACCTGTGGCTTACTGTGAAGGGCACAGCAGGCCAGGGAGAAATGACCTCTAACGTCTGTAAAATTCTTCTCCACCTTTTACATTTATTTCAGTCATCTTATGATTCTTGTGCACCTCTTTGTGAAGTCTTATTTAGCAATTTCAGGGGACAAGAAATCCTTGCACTTCCTTCTCCCCTGAGCTAATTCTCTGAAAATGGATAGACTAACCTGAGTGTCTATAAATCCAGAATTTGGGTAGGGATAGGGATGGAGAAAGTTGTCTTCCCTGGGTGCTGTTCTATACCCTTCTTCGCTGCATCCAGTGCTGACTGCAGCTCCATCACCCTCTCGTGCGTTCACACGTCCATTCCTATGGGAAAAGGTTGCGTCCATGGCATCTCTGCTATTCTTTTCTGTTGGTTGAGAAGCACATCTTTGGCCTGTAGGTATGGCTTGGATGAAGGAAGTTCAAGGGGCTGCTCTCAGTTATATTCTAGAGAAAGTTTGTTTTCTTGTAGCTCTGTCCTGTTGCTGCATGTGAAGCAAAGCTTTCCTTGGTATTCGCCCCATTGTTTAATTATTGACAGGTTTAGAATTTCTAACCTGACCTGTGGAGCAGAGAGGTTGAAACCACTTAGCTCATGATGAATACCCATGTTGCTATCTGGCCCCTTTCTGTGAACATTTGTCAGTCTTAAAGTTCTTCAGTAGAAATGTGTTACATCATCATTTATAAAGTTGAAGGGTCATAGCTCCAGCTAACTGACAGGCTTCCCAAAGTGAAGGCTCTAGTACCCAACACCTAGAGAACCTCAAAAGCAGGTTGCTCTCCCACCACTTTCCCTTCCCTCTAGGCCCCCTTTCCATGTACAATGCTGCGAGGAGAATGTTCCTTCACAGGTGAAGGGGCCCTATCAGTTTGTCGAATTAATGGGCAACTTGAGGTAGAAATAAGAGGATAGAATTTCTTAGCACTTATTTGGATGCTGTTATGGACTGAATGTATATGTACCTCAAAATTCATGTTGAAATTTAATCCTTAATTTGATGGTATTTGGAGGTAGGGCCTGTGGGAGGTGATTAGGTCATGAGTGTGGAGCCTCACAAATGGGACTAGTCCACTCCTGAGAGGCCAGAGAGCTCACTTACTCTCTTTCTGCCATGTGAGGATCCGAGATGTCAGCTGCCTGCAAGCAGAAGAGCACCCTCTCCTGAACACAACCATGCTGGCACCCTGATCTCGGGCTTTCAGCTTCCACAACTGTGAGAAGTAACTTTTTGTTGTTGATTAAGCCACTCAGTTTATAGTATTTTGCTATCACAGCCCAAGCAAAGACTGATGCTTGCAATCTGAATAAAGGAAATCCTTAAATTTAGTTTCAAAATATATTCTCTCTCTTGATTTCCCTCCTTTATCTCTTCCTAACTTTGGGTGTTGTTTTTTTTTTCCATTGTACTCCCCCTCCAGCAGCTCTATGCTTGCAGAACCACGGCAGGGCATCTTTAAAGTTTTAAATAGAGAACACTAAAAGGAAAATCTCTGCAACCACTTGTGACTAAGTACTGGGAACCTATGTTCTCAATCTTCCTCCACGTTGTTTTTTTGTATTCTCAAGATGATTCTGTATGTGTGTGTGTGTGTGTACATATATGTAATATATATGTATATATTGCTGACATATTGAAAATAAAGTTTAAGGCATACGCATATAAAGCATATGTTGTATTGGTGCAATAACGGTAATTTAGAAAAAGGGACTCAAGAGACAACTTTTTATAGTGTATTGTCTTTTCCTTGAACCTTACCCAAATACACATGCTATAAAACAAAACATTTATGAGACAATCAGGGAAATTTGAACACTGGATATTTGATGAATTAAATTTTTCAGGTGTGATAATGGTATTACAGTTTTAAGAGCACTATCTTTTAGGGATACTAAAATACTTTGAAATGAAATAAGATGCCTGGGATCTGCTTCAAAATAATCTGGAGGGACAGGAGAGCAAAGGGGTATAGAGGAAACATGATCCGTCATGAAATGGTAAATATAGGCAAATGGAGATTCATTACATCCTTACTCTCATTTGAATGTTGAAATTTCCCATGATAAAAAGTAACAAAACAAAACACAGGGTGACAGACATATATTTACTCTGACACCAGTTATTTGAGCAAGATGAGTCCAGGTCTCACTCGCAAACTCCCCAGGCTTCCGGAGAAGAACAGAGGTCAAACATGCCAGGCCGGCCCTTTGCGCGCCTCAGCAGTAGTGGCCATGTGTCCCTGGGAGCAGCAGTGCCCATTTCAGCTGGCACACGTGGTAGAGATGAAAGCAGCCTGGGTGAATGACAGGTTTCTCAGTATACCTAGAGGAGAGGGCTACATGGAGCATAACACCCACAGGGGGGCAGGAGGAGCCCTCACCCTCAGAGCCCATGTTCTCCAGGTGCCCCTGGGCCTCCTAGACAGAAGTCAAGGTATTCCACCCTACAAAGCTTGGTTCGCTTTCAGCCCCAAGGCTGGGTAGGGCACAATCGGCTCTGGGGCCTCCTAAGTTTCCTAGGATGAGCCTGCAGAGGCTCAAGTCTCTGTACGGCCTCCACTTCTGCTCCCCACCGTGGGACAGCACAGAAAACAGGAACTAAGCAAACAAATTCAAATTGGGGTGAGGGAGGGAGAATGCCACAAACCTTTGACTCTCCCTCAGGCTTGGCCTGCTAAGAGGAGGAGGAAATAGTGCCTGGGTGGTAGAAAAGATGGTAACTGACCACAAAAACAAGCCAAAACCTGGGGCACCAAGGACTGCCTCTCCTTTGGGACCCAAAATATGATTATTTGCATCATAAATGTATGTCTTGGGAACATGGCTGCTTGTATGTCATTTCATTTGTTTAATATCAGCCTCTCCCAAGTATCCTTTTTTATTGAGTACCTGGGTCCAGCATGCTATCTCACTTAATCTTCCCCTGAAGATTACCTGTGGAAGGAATACCATCTGAGGAAGGTGCAATTAGCCTCAGTACAGATACAGAAACTGAAGACGAGAGATTAAGCAACTTGCCCAAATTCACAAGGTTTATAAGTGGAAGAGCTGGGATATGAGCCTTATTCTTACTTCACAAAGCTGCTGCCATGTTGGGGAAAGTGCTGTTGACCCTGGGAATCTGTCCAAGAATCCCAAAAAGAGAGGGGTTCCTAGTTGACAAGATTGAGACTGCTCATACCCTGCCCCTGCCAATTGCCAGCCAGTCTGCTTGGTTCTCACGTCACAACTGGCAGTTGAGTGGATGGACTAAAGGAGGCCATTCCCATGCTATGCCCCATCCTTGGTACAGAGTACCTCATTAGGCCTCTCTCCCCCCATCACCACACCCGTTTCCAGAAACCTCTTGGGCCCCATGAGCAGCTCCCATTGCCATCCACAGACAATGATGCTTCCATCAGCTGTCTGCCACCCACTGGCCACCCAGCTTCCACAGTTGAACATTGGCTCACAGTGCACACATGCTGCTCTCTCCTGCTTCTTGCCACAATGACCCAGTTTCCGCTCCCTCTATCGCACTGAGACCGCTCTGGTCAGCTCACCAGGCAACTGAGAATCAGGTGCTACTTTCTAGAACACAGCCATACTACCTCTGAGCTATATCAGAGGCTGTTGACTACCTCTCCTGAATCTCTCCTCCTTGGCCCTGACATTTCCTCTGGGGGCCTCTGTGGATGCTCCCTTGGGCTCCACGGCAGGCTCTTTAACACTCAGGACTGCCCAGGGCTCTGCCCTCCCCCAACCTGGACACCCTCCTCAGGTGACTTGTGGCCTCACCTGATTTCCAAGCCTTCAGTTGCTTGCTCTGCCTTGACCAAGTCCTGTATGCCAGTGCCCTTCTGTTCACCATGCTACTTCAGGACTTGGGGGACTGCAGGGCATGGATCTGGCTTTCCTGGTGGCCAAGTTATACAATCCCAGCAAGTGAGGGAGAGCAAACACCTCACAAGGCAAACTTGGAGCAACGAAAGACAGAAGACAGGAGGAGAGCAGGCGAATCTGCTCTCCATTCCTCCATCAACCCCAATGTAATGTTGCAGCCAGGCATGGTGTTTGTGAAGTCTATCCAGAGACAGCATACATGGGCAGGTGACTAGCTGTGTCTTGGTGAAGCAGTGGGCAACTCATTAAAACAAACCTTGTTTCTTCTCCTTTCCTGCCTAGTTTCCCTCCCTTTCCCTCACTCGCAGTGCTTTGGGACTGCAATTACTATGAAACACTAGCACTTCAGCTTTGCCTCTGGTTTGGTTTTCTAAGTAACCTGAATTAAGACCCTACACCTCATCCAAACCAACCACCACTGACACAACTCATCCCCCAAACTGTATCTCCAATCCAGACTTCTCTGCTGAGCTCCAGACCCAGCTAGCTCCAACTGCCAATGGCCACCTGCACTCAGACATTCTTCCAAGCACCTCATATCCATTCCAAAATGAAACTCACAGTTCTCCTTCCCAAACATGTGTTTTGGGGGATGCCAAGATAAAAGACATCCTCTAGAAACTCTCAGTCTGTCTACAGTAGGTAACCGAAGAAGGGTTAACTGATGACTATAATGATAAGAGATGCTTCCCGGTAGGGAGCAGTATTGCAGATGCGTGACTTAGGGAAGAGGAAGCAAGGCTGCCGCGCACCAGGACGGTGCTGGAAGCTGGCATGCGTTATCTCTTTTAGCCTTCATGGCAACCCTGGGAGGAGGCATTCTTCCCATTCTGCCATTGAGAAAGCAAACCAAAGGTTAAAAACCTTTTGTCAAGGAACAAAGCAACTAAATCCAAGCACCCCTGGAAAAAATGTTCATATTCTCTGCTCCCTCCAGTACGGGAGCACCCAACAGGCCACAGGAATTGGAGATTTCCTAAGGTGGCAATGCCAGAGCTGTCTTAATAAATGAACAGGATGTCAGCTAAGGTGGGGTGGGGCAGGCAGGCGGAGCGGAGGGCAGGTGGCTGGCATTCTGGGCAGCGGAAAGGGGCCTGAGAGAGCACAAGGTGGCAAAGCAACAGCAGGGATTCACTAAGGGAAGACCACAAGGCACACGTGGACAAGTATCCCCATGAGAGGCTGGAGAGATGGGCAGGACCCAAAACAGATAGCCTTGTGTGCAATTCTAGTGAATTTAAATTTTAAGTTCTAGATACTTAGAGAAACTACTTCAGGATTTTATTTAAATTATAAATTTTAGTTGGAAGAACCATTTCAGGATTTAAAGCAGGGAATAACGTGGCCCAGTTTGCATTCTGGAAACGTCCCTCTGCTGTGAGTGGGAACTGGTTGACAGATGCATGGAGGTAGGGTGGCTGAACCTAAGTCCTGGCCCTAACTCCATAAAGAACTTAGGTGCCAAGCCCCTGGTCTAGCCCCTTTCCCCTTGTTCACAGTAACTTACCACACGTAAATGTGAAGGGCACACTGCTCCACTGGTCTCTACAGAGAGGGGCCCTCAAATCTGGCACAGCCAAAGCCTCCTCAGCATCCCTTCTCCTCCACTCCTGCTCTGAACCAAAAGGCCCAAGTCCCACTCCCAAGACCACACAGAAAGCACTGAAGCAGAGTTGCTTTAATCAAGGGGTGAAGTCCTCTATCAGGGGGACCTCACTGAACCTTTGGTGGTGGGGTCTCAGCCTACCCCCCACGTGCCCTGAGGCCCCTCAGGAAGGAGGGAGCAGCTGAACAGCAAATCCTGGCAGAGGCCAAGGAATGGAAATAGGGGAACCCAAGTCAAGGGGCAGGGGCAGGGCACTGACAGGTGGAAGTGAAGCTGAACAGGGCAGGAACAGCTGTGCACACACAGTTCTACAATGGGGACTAGCTGAGGTGGCTGTGCATCAGGCAGAGTGACACCCAGAGGGCGGAGGGTAGAGGTGGATGGGGCGGAAGGAGCACTCAGGAGATGAGGCGA